GCGCCCACCGAGCTCTTGAGAACTTCCAGAGGGCCTCTGGTACCTCAGCAGATGTAGCTAATGTTTCAAGATCTCCGATGTGGACGATGGGCGTATTGTTTGTGATGGCAGATAGGACCGATGCAGAAGGAGTGCGGATTTGCGTGCCAAACATGAGCTCCGCCGCCGAATGGCCAGAGACTCGCTTTTGGGAGTTGATCGACAACTGGACAAAAGGTAAGGCTTGATCCCATGGCAGTTTGGTTGTCGGGAGGACGCGTTTGACACGTCCGACCCTTTCCTCAGCACTGCCATTCGAAAATGGTGAGTATGCCGGGACCGTGTTGAAGCGCACACCACAGGACAGGAGCGGCGTGCGCAGTGACGGCGAGTCGATGAAGTTGTCCCCGGTAACACTAAGGGGTACACCAAAGATACTCACCCACGAGCCATACAGTAGTTTAGCCGTCGTACATCCTCTGACATCTTCCGCACCGCACAGAAGTGTATACCCAGTGGCCAAGTCCGTGATGACAAGGAATGCCTTGAGGGATGGGTTCGCGGGAGATATCCATGTAGGGTTTGGGTAACCATGGTCAATAGCAATATGCTTCCCACGAGCATTCAGATCTATTAGTCTCCACGGAAGGCGTGGTGCGGTGACCAGTTTCATACGCTTGGTAGGCTTCTGCTCCATGCAATGATCACATCGCTCAACCCAGGACCTAGCATCGCGAAGGAGAGAGGGCCACCAAACGAAAGGGACAAGGCTATCCCGCATGTCCCTGTGAGGTCTATGATAATCCATTTCATGGGCAACAAAAAGGAGCCAATCTCGCAGCTTCCAGTCTGTGTCGACATTAGGGCCGATCATGCCATTCAAACCGGTAACTACGCCTCCTGGAATGACTGGAACCGATATCGGTCCAGTCAACGCAGCTTCAGAGATAGTCATGACCACCCCTCCAACATGGGTGACAAGGCCGAGAGATTTCGCCTCCGCGGCTAATTTCTGAAGTTTCCCAGCTCCGTCAA